ACAGCCAGCAGCAGCAGCAGCAGCAGCAGCAGCTGCAGCAGGAGCTCGAGAAGCTGCAGCAGCTCCAGAAAGAAGCAGCCTCGGACGACCCCGAGCAGCAACTGCAGCAGCTGCAGCAGCTGCAGCAGCTGCAGGGACTGCAGCCGCACCTGCAGCAGCAGCAGCTGCAAGAAGTCGAACTAGACACGCAGCAGCAGCAGCAGGAGCAGCAGCAGCAGCTGTCCTTAAAAGCTTTACTGCCTCCCATAAAAGGAGACGCAGAGGCCTTGCGACAAGTTGCTGCTGCAGCGCAGCAGCTGCGGAAGGTAGGGCTGCTGCTGTGTCTGCTGCAGCGCAGCTCAGCTGTGCCGACACCCCACACACACAACCTGCTGCTGCTGCTGCTGCTGCTGCTGCTGCAGGAGCTGAACGTAGGAGCTCTTGAGGTGCAAACGCTGACGCTGCCGTCGAAGCTTGAGTAGGAAGCAAACCATTTCTGCTGCTGCTGCTGCTGCTGCTGCTGTGCTGCTGCTGCTGTTGCTTCCGCCGCCGCCGCTGCTGTGTCTGCTGCTGCTGCTGTGTCTGCTGCTGCTACTGTACTGCTGCTGCTGCTGCTGCGCTCTGCGTCTACACGCGATCGAAGCTGCCACGGAAACTGGCTGGGCAACAACAAACCTAAACCCTAAACCCTAAACCCTAGAAATTTTGGGGCTTCGGGTGTATGGACAGGCTGTGCTGGGCTGAGGACCTGCGGTCGCTGCACTTGTGGCTTCCCCTCCCCACAGGTAAGACAACTCCCCACAGGTAAGACAAATAGCAGCAGCAGCAGCAGCACAGCAGCAGCAGCAGCAGAAGCAAAAGCAATGCAGCAGCAGCAGCAGCAGCACAGCAGCAGCACAGCAGCAGCACAGCAGCAGCACAGCAGCAGCACAGCAGCAGCAGAGGATCAGCAGCAGCAGCACCACAGCAACAGCAACACAGCAGCACAGCAACAACAGAGCAACACAGCAGCACAGCAAAAGCAGCACAGCAGCAGCATCCCCAGCAACAGCAGCAGCCGCTGCTGCTGCAGCAGAGAAAAAGAGAGAAAAAGCGAAAAACAAATTAAAAATAACAAAAGTGTTTTGCTGCAGGTCTAAAAGCAACAGATGTTCTCTTCTCTTTGACTCCCCGGCGGCTGCAAATTAAAACGCGAGGCGCTGCGGTGCTGCTCGACCAGCAGGTCCCAAACCCTAAACCCTAAACCCTAAACCCTAAACCCTAGATCTCAATTCTAGGCCCTAATCCTATAAGCTGGCGAAGCCCTAGCCCCAAACCCTAATTCGGAACCCTAACCCGAAACCCTAGCTCAACCCCCCTATCTCACATGCATCCATGTGCTGCTGCTGCTGCTGCTGCTGCTGCTGCTGCAGCTGTGGGCCCCGGTGAACTCGCTGGACTCCCACTGGAGTGTACAGACAGCTGGCTGCGGCTCTTTAGTTCTTTTCGCACTTTTGCAAAAACGCGAAAGAAACGTTGAGGGCCTGTGGGGCCGCCTGTTTGCCCCAAACCCTAAACCCTAAACCCTAAACCCTAGCTAAACCCCAAGCCCTCGCTAAACCCTAGGCCCCAGCTAACCGTAGGCACTAGCTAAACCCTAGGCGCTGGCTAAACCCCAAACCCTAGGTTGGCCTTGAATCGTCAGGCCTAAACTCGGGCTAAACCCTAAACCCTTGCTAGACGTCAAACCCTCGCTAAACCCTAAACCCTAGCTAAACCCTAAACCCTATCTAAACCTAAACCCTCCGTAAACCCCCAAGCTTACTTCAGCGCACAAACCCCGAGAAGCTACAAATCGCCAGCACAGCTGCGCTGCAAACCCTAAACCCTAAACCCTTTAGTGTGCGCTGTGTGGGCCGCCCGTCAGGGGGTTTGGGGCTCAGGGTTTAGGGTTTTAGGGTTTAGGGTTTGGCTAGCCAGGAAGGTACAAAAGGGTTTATTATCTTTTTGAAGTTTTTAGATTTAATTTTTAATTTTTTTAAAAATAAAAAATTAACAAAAACACCCAGGGTGTACATACACCCCAAGATGCGAGCAGCACAATCCTTCGAAGAAAACCTGCAGCAAAAGACTGCAGCAGCAGACTTCTAAAACCCTAAACCCTAAACCCTAAACCCTAGACCCTAGAATGTGGAGAGGCGGTGACGGCGGCGCCGTTGGCAGCGGCAGCCTTTGCTGCTGTTGCAGCTTTTGCTAAGTAAGCAGCTTTTGCTGCTGCAACTGCTGCTGCTGCTGCAGCTTCTGCTGTTGCAGCTTCTGCTGCTGCAGCTGTTGCTGCTCCTGGAGTTGCTGCTGCTGCTGCTGCCTGGAGCTTCTGCTGCTGCAGCTGCTACTGCAGCAGCTGCTGCAGCAGTTGCTGCTGCGGCAAGTTATGTGGGAGTGAAACCACTGAGCCATTTGGCGCAGCTTTTCTTAAGGGTTTTACTTAGCTGCTGCACTGCGGCAAGAAACTTGGGGTTTAGGGTTTAGGGTTTAGGGTTTGGGGTTTAAGGTTTAGGGCCTGTATTCCTTCGCTGCTGCAGCTACATTACACACACCAGTAGTAGGAACGACGGCAGCAGCAGCTGCTACAGCAGCAACAGCAGCAGCTGCTGCTGCAGCGGCAGCTGAGCTGCTGCTGCGCCGGCGGCGGTGGCGGCGTAGCTGCTGCGGCAGCAGCAACTGCTGCTGCAGCTGCTGCCGCCGCAGCTGCTACGCCGTTGTGAAGAAGTTGTTTATTTGGTTTAATAATTATTCATGTGGCGCATTTAGGGTTTATGGTTTAGGGTTTAGGGTTTAGGGTTTAGGGTTTAGGGCTGTGCACGTCGCAGCACACAGACACCGCGGCGACCGCACCGGTCCACCGGCCCTGGGGTGTACGTACACCTGAAAACAGCAGTTGGATTTGGAGCTTTATTGGTTTTCAGGTGTACATACACTTCAGTTCATGCTGCTGCTGCTGCTGCTGCAGAAGACGCAAGCTGCAGCACCACGGGCGCCAGGGAGCGCCTGCAGCCAGCAGCAGCAACTGCAGCAGCAGCAGCAACTGCAGCAGCAGCAGCAGCGACAGAACAGCGACGCGTAAAAAAGATTGCAGCAACGGCAACGCTTACACCGGCCGCAGCAACAGCAAGTGCAGCAGCAGCAGCAGCTGCTGCTGCTGCTGCTGCTGCTGCAGCAACTGAGCGACCATTTTCAGTGAACTTTGACCCCCTACACACAACAGCAGCGACAGCAGCAGCAACAGCAGCAGCAGCAGCTGATTCTGGATGTATCAAGTCCATTTGGAAGCAGCGGAAGTAGCTGCTAAACGAACCAGTGCGTTCGCTGCTGCAGCAGCAGCAGCAGCAGCAGCAACAGCAGCAGCAGCACAAGCCGCGTGTGCATATTTTGAAACCGCTCGTTCTTGTCCTAAATCACGGCGTCCCCGCCACCAGCAGAAGTAGCAACAGCAGCAGCAGCAGCAGCAGCAGCAGCAGCAGCAATAGCAGCTGCTGCAGCAACAGCGCCGGCTTCAGTAGCAGCAGCAGCAGCCGCAACAGCAGCAGCAGCAGCATATTTGAGGTGTACGTACACCGAAAAAATGGGGGCAGGCGGCAGCACCCTCGGGGAGACAATTCTCTTCCCCTCCCCTGAATGCTCTGTAAACCCTAAACCCTAAACCCTAAACCCTAAATCCTAAGTCTTACTCTCCAAACCGTAGTTTGTGAGAAGACATCCCTAAATCAGCAGCCATCTTGAGTGGAAGCTTTGGCTGCAGCGGCTGAGGGTTTACGAGGGGTCTTTGTTCTGTAGGGTTTAGGGTTTAGGGTTTAGGGTTTAGGGTTTGTGGTTCGCAGTACGACGAGTTGCTGCCGGGTCTTCTGTGGATTTCGGAGTCTCTTGCTGCTCCCAGCAGCGGCCCGTCCCCGGCGCGGTCCTCTCCTGCTGCTGCTGCTGCTGCTCCTGCTGCTGCTGCTGCTGCTGCTGCTCCCATTGACTTCGAGGTGCAGCGAAACCGCCACAGCAGCAGCAGCAGCTTCCCCGCCTGCTTCATTCCCGCCCCCAGCGGCAAGGCCAAATATGTGCTGCTCTACTGGCACGGTGAGGAGCTAGCTAGCTAGCTAGCTAGCCAGCTAGCTAGCTAGCTAGCTAGCTAGCTAGCTAGCTAGCGAGCCGGCTAAATGTTTAATTAGCTAGCTAGCTAGCCAGCTAGCTAGCCAGCTAGCCAGCCAGATAGCTAGCTGGCTAGCCAGCTCGATATCAAGCTGGATGACGAACAAGCTAGCTAGCTAGCTAGCTAGCTAGCTAGCTAGCTAGCTAGAGATCTAGCGAGCAAACTAGCCAGCGAGCCACCCAGCTAGCTGGCTAGCCAACCATGAGTTAGCTAGCTGGCCAGTCCCCATCTAGCCAGCTAGCTGGCTATCCAATCAGCTAGCTAGCTAGCTAACCACTGCTCCAGCTAGCCAGCCAGCTAGCCAGCTAGGTAGCCACCTACCCAGCTAGTCACCCAACTGCCCAGCTAGCCAGCTAGCTGGCCAGCTAGCTAGCCAGATACTTAGCCGAATAGCTGGCCAGCTAGCTAGCCAGCTAGCTAGCTAGCAAGCCAGCCAGCTAGCTAGCCAGCTAGCTAGCCAGCTAGCCAGCTAGCCAGCCAGCTAGCTAGCCCGCCCGCCAGCTAGCTAGCTCTAGCTAGCCAGCTAGCTGGCTAGCCAGCCAACTGGCTAGCTAGCTAGCTAGCTAGCTGTGTGTGTGTGGCAGGCAATTCCTGCGACTTGGGGCACATAAGAGAAGAGCTGGAGATTCTGGGGGCCTTTTTGGAGTGTCACTGTTTGGCTATAGAGTACCCTGGGTACGGGCTTGCTGCAGCAGCAACGCCAGCAGCAGCAGCAGCAGCAGCAGCAGCAGCAGCAGCAAACAGCGGCAGAAGAGTCCGCGCCAGCGTCAGCGACACCATCAACTTGTGGGGCCGAGCTGCTTTTAATCTTCTTCTCTCTTTGGGAGTTTCTCCCTCCAACATCATTTGCTTCGGCAGATCTATTGGCACAGGTGCTGCTGCTGCTGCTGCTGCTGCTGCTGTGGCTGCTGCTGTGCTGCTGCTGCTGCTGGTGCGGCTCCTGCTGCCGCTGCTGTGGCTGTGGCGGCTTCCGCTGCTGCTGCTTTCGCTGCGCTTGCAGGCTTTTAGTGCTTCAGCTTTTGCTGCTGCTGCTGCCTTTGCTGCTGCTGCCGCCTTTGCTGCTGCTGCTGCTGCAGCGGCTGTTTTGCCGCGAATTTCGTTTGTTGTTCCTTTCCCATTATTCATGAACTCCCGATCAAGAAACAGGAGAGCTAAGTGCTTCCCTCCTGGCTCCCCATTTGCAGCTGCTGCTGCTGCTGCTGCTGCTGTTGCTGCTGCTGCTGCTGCAGGCCCTGCTGCTCACCTTGCTGCTGAGCTTTTGGCGGAGGGGATTTTGGTGGGGGGTGTGGTGCTGCATGCGCCTTACATTTCGGTGCACAAGATAGTTGCAGGTAAAGTTGAAAAATAAAAATAAACAAAAATAAATAAAAATTAAAATTAAAATTAATTCAAAAAGAAGAAAATAAAGTCCAAAAGACATTTACTTTCCCTTTAAAAGTTCTAAATTCATAAATGGTTTTATCTTTAATTCAAGTTCGCCAGTTGCACGCGAAATGCCTCTTTGGTTTTGAAGTTAAATCATAAATAGAACGAATTGAATAATCAAATAAACATAATTATATAAATAAAATAAATAAATAAATAAAATAAATAAAAGAAATTAAAACAAAACAATAAAATACACAAAAGAAGGCACAACACGACAAAGTGCAACGAAACACTGCTCCCGCTCCCCCTGCTGCTGCTGCTGTGCTGCTGCTGCGCTGCTGCTGCTGCTGCTGCGCTGCTGCTGCTGCTGCTGCGCTGCTGCTGCTGCTGCTGCTGCTGCTGCTTCCAGAGTACGCGGCGTTTGGGACTTGGCTGATAGGGGACTACTGGAGCAACAAGGAGTCTCTGTCGAGTTTGTCTCCGTGGACTCCCTTGTTGATAATCCACGGACTTGAAGACGAAATAATTCCTTTTCATCATGGAAAGTATCTTTTCGAAAACTACGGAGCCACCGAAGCTGTCAAGGCTGCAGCCTTTCCCGCGGACTCCTCCCACAACGCCTACTACGTCATCGACGTCCGTGACCACTGGTCACCAGTGGTCCACTGGTCACGAGTGGTCCACTGGTCACCAGTTGACCAGTGGACCACTTCTCAGTAGTGGCATTCATGGTTTTTGTTGATGGCAGGCCATTTGTTGATGGCAGTCAGGCTTTTGGCAGGGGCGGAGTGGCAGAATGGGCCACTCTAGTGGTCCGTTTGGTCCATCAAGGAGTGGACCACTGGTCCATTTGTTAGTGGCATTCAGGCTTTTTGTTAATAATGGCAGAGAGCCAGAATGGGCCACTCCTAGTGGTCCACTGGTCTGTCAAGGAATGGGCCAGTGGTCCACTGGCGAATGGCATTAATGGTTTGCTGTGGTGTAGTGGTCCACCCCCAGTGGTCCATTGGTCCATTGGGTAATGTGCCAGTGGTCCATTGCTGAGTGGCATAATGGTTCACTGTTGAATGGCGCAATAGCCCGCGCTTAGTGGTCCACTGGTCCATTAGCAGTGCCCCAGTGGTCCACTAGTTCGCGTCTAGCGGTCCAGTGGTTTGCTGTTTAATGGTCCAGTGGTCTGTTGTTGAATGGCATAATGGTTCAACTATTAAGTGGCATAATGGTCCATTATTAAGTGGCATAATGGTCCATTATTAAGTGGCATGATGGTCCATTATTAAACGAAATAATGGTCCATTATTTAATGGCATAATGGTCCATTATTTAATGGCATCATCATCCATTATTAAATGAAATAATGGCCCATAATTAAATGACATAATGGTCCATTATTAAGTGGAACACTGGCTCACTTTGAGTATAAAATGGGCCAGTGGTCCATTCTGTTTAGCATGCGGTGCATTATTAAACCAGCTGCTGCACCGGTGGTCCATTTTATAAGAGTAATAAGTGTTTTTTCCTAATAAAATGGACCACTGGTTCCTTTTTATTATGCAAAATGGACCAGTGGTCCATTCAATATAAAACAAACCAGTGGTGCGTTTTGTATGAAATGGACCAGTGGTCCGCTGCATGCAAAGAGAGCCATTTGGTTCCATTTTTTGTCGTTTTTGATCATTTTTGGGTCTTTTTTTGCAGTTCATTCTTCACTTTTTGTTCCTTTTTGCATTTAATTGTTATTGTTCACTTTTAATTCCCTTTTCGCTTTTTATTTTTTCGAAATTGCTTTTATTTTCGTTCATTTCGCAATTTGCTGCGCAAGGTCCTTCGGCCGTTTGCCCTGTTTGTTCAGCAATTCAACTTGCAGTTCCACTTCATTCAAATGACTTTATTCTTTCATTTATTTATTTTAATTATTTTATTTTATTTAATTTATTTATTTATTTATTTATTTATTTATTTATTCTTTTATTCATTCTTTTTCAGTTTGGTTCTGTTTGTTGTTTTCGTGGAGTGGTTTGGGCTGGCGCAGCCGCGTGTCTGAAATATCAGATATTTCACTTTTTTTAATTTCATTTAAAAGGAATTAAATTAAATCAAGTTAATTTAAATAATTAAATTTAATTTAATTTAGTTAATTAAATTTAATTTAATTTAATTATTCAATTTAATTTAATTTAATTAATTTGAATAGTTTGAATAAATAAAATACATAGAAAGAGAGGTTTAAGGCACTGAAAATGGATAAAAGTCTCACAGCTGCGCTGCTGCTGCTGCTGCTGCTGCTGCTGTGCTGCTGCTTCTTCCGCCCGTGGCCATTAGATACGTAATATTTATTTATTTATTTATTGAAAATTATTTATTTTCTTTTTGCTTTTAGGACCTGGGAAAGCCCATGAAGGAATTCTTGAGCACAAAAGCCAGGGGGAGAGAAACAGCTCCTTTTGAAGTTACAATTCCCCGCTACCTGCAGCAGC